TGCAAAACTAACATACTTGCGATGTGTTTAGTAAAACTAGCGGATAAGTTAATTAAAAGATAAAAGCCAGATAAAAATTAAAAAATTCGTTAGTTGAATTGACTTCTGTTTAAAAAAATAGTTATTAAATTTGTCAATAAATATAAAATGATAAATAAAAATATCATTAGTTTTTAATCTATAAATTAAATTTTAATAATTGTATATTCTTAAATAATTATAAATTTTAATTTTATTATTATTTAAAATGTTTTTATGAAATAATATGAATTAGTTTATACTATTATTTTGATAATTTACATTATAAAATTTTTAATGATTTAATTATATTGTAACAATATTTTATGACAAAAGTGATTTTTAAAAATTAAACATGAAAGAAATAAAAGTAGTAAAATTTTAAAAATTGAAGGGGATAGAAGTAGAATATAAACGTTCGATTTATATACAACAATAATATTCTCATCGAATATAATTTTTCCAGTACTTCTGTAGTATATATTTTCTTATAGTTACTTTTTCTTATTTGAGAAATTTTCCTTTTTTTAAAAAGAAAAATTAACCATATACGATTGTGAATATTATTATTATTATTTAAAAATATGTATTTCAAGAAGATTGAATTTTTTTAATACTTTTCTATCTACTTTATCTTACATTTTATTACACTGATCACTATTTTTTAATTTTTTCTTTAATTTGTATCACATCTATGCTTTGTTTTTCTCCTGTTCTACTTTCTCGTATCTCTTTTACCCGCGACCATTTCATAGTCCTTGGTGTGAAAAAATCATTTGTTGATGTTTGTAACATCGAGATTCTGCAAATTTCGTCCAAAGTTGGTGATAAAAATTTGACCGGAGAGAGTAGGCAGATTATGCAGAATAGCTTCACATGATGATTGTCATTTGTCGCCCTACAGAGAAATGGTTAGTGGATAAGAGTTGGATTTGAAGAGTGCATGCGACTAACAATCTGACACGCGCGCATAGAGAGGGAAGAAGGAAGGGCCATCCTTTGTTTGGTTAAAGAATTCTTTTGATGGATGATAGGGCAGATCCAAAGGGGGATTCACCCCCGACAAAGAGCATCTTTGGATGCATGGCCTTTATTTACGCAGGCCGAGAGAAAGAGAGTGACACTGTGTGTTCTGGGTTCTCAGAGCAACTAATTAAGCTATAAATTTTATTATATATAATTTTTTATCATGTCTCCTCGTGTGTGTATATATATATATATACATATATATAGCTAAAATTAATTTGTATATATTACCAGTGAAACTTCAACGCTTATATTATTTAATAGTTTTTATTGGACATGAAATTCATCTTTCTCACCATTGGTATTATGATTCAACGGATCTAACTTTTATATACATATATATAATATATAATAGCATGTATGTATGGAGTATGAGTTTGAGTTTCCGTTTCAGCAAACTCTCCGGCGGTGGTGGCGTAATGTGGCACTTTCCATTGTCTTTTTGTGTGTGTCTGGCAGCGCCACCCACGCCTACGTCTTCTACTTCAACACTCTGGCTTATGCGGTCAACCCTGTCCCTGTGACCTCTGATTCTAGTTACGCTTTCTTTGTTTCTCCATCCATCGAATGTATGTTACCTTCAAACACACACTTCCATTCCCGGTCTCGCTGTACGTATCTTAATAGATAATCAAGTCGCGGGCCTAACTAATTTGCAGTTAAGTTCCCGTGACTACGAAGAATATATTTATTCGGATTCTTTGTTATAAAAAATATCAATTCCATTCATGTTTCTAACTAGGAAATGGTCTACCTTTTAATTAATTGGTTGGATTTATGTCCACCACGATGAATCTATTACTTATGAATAAATTTATATCAAAAGAAGGCAGCTGCCACAACTAATCATAGTAATAATAATATAGTACAAACGGTTTAGTATTGGACTACACTTCGTTACTGCATTTTTTGTTAAAAGAATGTTATAAGCATATACATCAAAAGGTTAAACTAATAGTATATAATATATTATATTATCAAATAATATTATTAATATAAACTTTTAGTATTTATATTAATGATGTTTATACTTTTCATTAAAAAATATTACAATAGAAACAATTCTTACATCTTATATTTTATCATTATTAGTGATATGTCATAAATTTTTTTAAAAAATGTTTGATAATCACCTTTTGAGCCTTTATATTTAGAAAGATAAATAAATAAAAAAGAAGTGATAAATATAATAGATAATGCGATGTGATAAAAAATATTAAATGATTATTAATACTATTTAAATTTAATAAATCAAAAATAATTTTTCTATGACTAAGCGAAGTAACCTTTATATGTTTAAAGGCATCGTAATGCGTTTATGAACTTTTTGTTTGTTGATAAGATGCGTTTTGAACTATGTCATAACCCACTTATATAAATTATAATACACGTATTAGTGACCGATCTTTGGCTAGATACTATTACTTTATGCTCTTCTTGCATGATAAAATAATAAGCACTTAATTATGATATATAAATATCTCAACAATATTATATTCATTCAGCAGTTCTTAATTTCATTTATTTTTTCATATCATATTATTTATCATTTATCATTCTTCTAATTTATATTGCCTCATGGTGTAGACATCCAAAAGTGAAAGGAGAGGTAGTACTCGTCATCTTTTGCACGGTTGACAACAGCCCACTTTCTTGCAGCTTCTATTATCTACGTTATCTTTAATTTCGTAAGACTCATTATTTCCCGGTAGTGGCAATGCACCCAATGTTTGATGTCTTATTAACCTCGATTTTCAAGTAAAATAACCTCAATTTTAAAGGCTTTAAGCCGCCGATTGTCCCAAAGTGTGGTGCATGTGGGTCACTAGCTGTGCCCCTTCCCACCAAACAGCCCATATAGATGTAGGTACCTTCCCACTTGTCATCGCATTTCCAACAACATAACTGTTCCCCATGTCCTAATGTTTCTATTGCTAATTAGCTCGCTAATTACATCCTAATAGAATGTTAATTATATATTTCCTCATATCTAAAGCGAAGCCAAAATCAATTTCCGCACTAAATCAACTTAATTATGTTATTCTTGCTCCAATATAAGGCATTTATCGATCTTTCTGCTTTTTATATAAAAATCTTGCTTCTTGCTGTCCGTATATTATAATATAAGTCCCTCAATCCTTAAAATTGACAATTGCGCTAGAGCATTAATCACGTAAAGGTTTAAGTTTAAATCACGGGAGTAGAACATGTAATATATAATGGCAATTAATTAAGGTAAAACAAACCTTTGAATAAATCACATGAGTGATGACATGATTGATACTTGGGCAAATCAAGGCAAAGGTAGCGAGCGTCCCAGGGAAGAAAGGATGGAGTACACAGGAATAGACCCGAGAAAAGCGGGGGAAGAGGCACGCGTCATGCTTAGAGCCGGTGGACCTCAACCTTGAGGTTAGACTTTATAAAGATGGAATTTGCAGAGGATTCAAGTGGTGCATGTGGTGATTCATAGAAAATTGAAGCACAAACAAACACCCTCAGACTCTGTGTGTGTGACACTAGTCCAGTTAAGTTTTAATTGTGCCAGCTATGATTTCATTAATTAAATCAAGTCTGCTACATACCACCGTAGTTCCCGTTTGTGATGTGGATATTCTCCGCAAACGACAAACTATGTACTAAAATACAAATTAAAACTTACATGAATTTATAATTATTTTGTGTCTCTTTTCTCTTAACATGATAAAATTAACATGAGAGCATCTTTATCTTTTGCTCTTTCCATTATTATAATGACTTCGTGTGTGAACAACGTGAAATCAAATTCAGAGTTTTGTGAAAGGTCCTAATTACTAGTCCTTTATGTAGTTGAGAATAATTGATCAATGTCAGTTAGTTAGCGTTTTATAGTTTTGGTTCTTTTAATAATGTGATGACACATAAATAATGTAGGAAAACTTTCATACTAACTATTTTAAAACTAATCTATTCATAAAATTAGTTGAATTGGCATGTACGTTGTAAATGTTCAATCATATGTAAGATAAACTCTTCTCATCAATTTTGCACATAAAAGAAATCTTCTATTGATTGACGGGCTTCTAATAAATTGCGCATATGGTTGTTGGCATCATAGTGTATGTGTGTACATCTTCACCAAACATATTTTCTTTTTAGATATGATAGATCAGTTTGATGTTGATTAACAGAGTCAGAAAAAGAGCCCTTACTAATAAAGTTCAAACTCGCTGTTTGAGTTTTTTTTTGAGTTTTTTTTTTTTGGTTGCACAAACAGTATCATTATTTGTTACTCAGCAGTATGATAAAGTTAAGTTCTAATGAATATATTTAAGAGATGTAATTATCTGTTAACTGTGTCACACTTTAATGATTAGTTCTTTCCTGTGTATAATTCAACATAATTTTGACAGTTTGATTTACTAAGATTTTAGAAATTTTAATACCGGAAATTGAATTTAAGTTGGGGTTGTTGCGGTATATAACAAAAAAAAGAACAAAAATTAAAAAAATAAATATAATTGTAGTGCAGAGGTGGGGACCATCCACCGCCCATAAGCTCGCAGACTTACCGAAGCCAGCTTCGATCTATTTTCTCAATCTAACCCTAACCCAACACCCAACATTTGCTTCAACTTTCTTTTCCTCCATCATTCTTGCAGTTCCTCAAGAGGAACTTCAATTTTCACAGCATCCAATTCATCCTTCAACTGGGTGCCACGCCAATTTGAATCTCGCACTTCTTCTCCTTTGATACTCAACTTGGGCTAGCTAGCTCAATTCAATTTAGCAAGAGAAGAGAGACTGGTCCGATCACACGTAATTTGCTCTTTTTATTTCATTATATTGAAATTGCCCAATTGATCAATTCAACTTCTTGTTCTTGTATATCGCAAAGGAAAGAAGCAATTAAACAGCTTGAGATATAGCTCACTACATTCAAAGATATATAGAAATAGAATTAAGAGAAAAAAAGAATGGATCCTATTACAGCACACGGGCATTCATCACTTCCTCCTCCTTTCCACACATCAAGAGATCTCCATCTGCACCATCAACACCAGTTCCACGCGTTGCAACAAAGCACAGAAGATGAACAAAGCGGAAGCAGTGGAGGCCTAAACCTCGCACACAAAAGGGAGCGCGAAGAAAACAACAACAACAGTAGCGAAGGAAAAGAAGGTGGTGGCTCAGGTGAAACCGAAATCACAAGAAGACCACGAGGAAGACCCGCGGGATCGAAGAACAAACCGAAGCCACCCATCATCATCACGCGCGACAGCGCAAACGCGCTAAAAACGCACGTGATGGAGGTGGCTGATGGCTGTGACATCGTCGAGAGTGTCTCCAACTTCGCTAGACGCCGCCAAAGAGGGGTTTGCATCATGAGCGGCACTGGAACCGTCACCAATGTAACTCTCAGGCAACCCGCATCTTCCGGTGCCGTGGTCACTCTCCATGGAAGGTTCGAGATCTTGTCCCTCGCCGGATCATTCCTTCCACCGCCGGCGCCACCGGCTGCTTCCGGTTTGACCATATATTTAGCCGGTGGACAAGGGCAGGTTGTAGGGGGAAGTGTTGTAGGAGCACTCATTGCTTCGGGTCCTGTGGTTATTATGTCAGCTTCTTTTAGCAACGCTGCTTATGAGAGACTCCCTTTGGAAGATGAAGACCCTTCGGTGCCCCTTCAAGGAGGTTCTATGGGGTCACCCGGTGCTGGTGGTGGTGCTGGTGGGGGAGTTGGTCAACAACAGCCACCTCAGCAACAGACGCAGCTTTTGGGGGATGCCACTGCTCCTCTTTTTCATGGTTTGAATCCCAATCTTCTCAATTCTGTTCAGATGCCGTCCGAGACATTCTGGGCAACTGGTCGCTCTCCGTACTGATGATGGATCATATGTGACACTATCATTAATGTAAGTGAAACAAACACTATCACTAGGTAGATGTTTTATTTCTTTCAGTGATGCCTTTGTTTTTAGCTTTTTCGGTGGGTCGGGGGGTACGTACGTAGCAAGAGATTCACCAAACTGTCGTGTTAGAAAAAAAGAAGAAGATAGGGAATAGTGATGTTCAACGTACGATCGAGGTTCTATTCGCTTCTTTAGGATTTGTGTGTCATTTTGATATGATTAGGTGAGTTCATATATGTTTACGTGTATTTGATGAGACTGTAATTAAATTGATGGATATCATTGGCGAGTTTTATTTTATTTTTGAAGAAAAAAAGGGTACATTTGCTTCTATTGAACGACTTCGAGGTGAAGCAGTATGAGTTACTAGGTTGTAGTACGAGGAACGAACGCAAAGGGAACGAGGAGTAAGAGAATTAAGAGAATAAAAATAGAAGCACGTGTGGCGGAGAAGTGTGCCCAGTGGAAGTTATAAGAGGAGGAAGATGATCTCGATCGCCAAGTTCTAGTTCTCTGCTGCATGTTGTGCCTTCGATCCAACACTTAGTGAAGTGTTTGAAAAACTCATTAATTTTCTGGTTGTTATTCATTGCATTTCCTGTTCTCATTTTTGTGTTCGTCGTTATAAGCGCATCATCTATATAAGGTTTAGCAACGAAAAACATGTTTAGCTTGGGTTGCTTATATTTCTGAATCGAAGATAACGTCTATTTTGTTGTTTCAGTTTGAGGTCATGGTTAATTTAGTGAATAATGATATTGGTTTCTTGACGAAGCACCTGATAAAGATCATATGTATGATCTTAGTTGGGTTATTCAAATTCAATTGAAATAAAAAGGTATTTTAATACATTATAGTAAAAAAAAAATTAATTGTATTCTTTAAATAAATATGAAGATTTAATGAAAGATAATTAACATAATTCTAGAAAATTAAGTTATTTAATATGAATTTATTTTACTGAAAATATTATTAAATGTTCTTAAGGTACAAATTATGAAATGAATTTTTTTTTAATTTTATTTGTCTTAAGAAGATACTATACAGATTAGGGAGTGTAATTAATATTGTTGTTTGTATTAAAATTATTGTTGATTTTTTATAATGTGGCATCCACTATTATTATTATTTTATTTATGATACATATATAAAGTATTTAAGAATTAAATTTATTTTTTAAAAGTGAATAAATATATAAAGTAAAAAATAAGAATGTAATTAACATTAGTTTCAAGTTAGTTAATATTGCATGGTAGTGAATGTGTATCCTTATTTTTTTTTTCATTTCATATGTTTGCGCACTTTAAAGAAATTAAAATGATACGAATTAAGTAGGAATGAGAACATAACTAAAAAAATTAATAATTAATATCATCTTAAATTCTTGATTACACAAATAAATAAAAATAAAATTTTCTTTTAAACATGGATAAAGAAGAGAAATAAAAAAAAAAACAAACATACAAATATTTTTATAAATAACCTTAATTTTAACGTAATTTTACCATAACTTTTAATGAGAACTCTTTATTTATTATTTTTTAACTAATATATTAGCTCACTTGTTTGAATTGGGTTCGATTTATATTAATTTTTTAATAAATTTTCTTAGGAAATAATAATAAAGAAATAAAATGAAGTAAAATTTTCTTATAAATTAGAATGAAGTTGTTTTATTTATTTAGTTTTTTAGATTTATTTAACCTTTTTAGAGCTTGATACGAGTAATTTAATTTTAATTTATAAATAATTTGTATTAATTTGATCTACTTATTTTTCTTCATATGTTAAATTTCTTTATAAGTTCACTCATGTTGGGCATAACTCTTATTTTATTTCTCTTTTTCGTTTTTAGAGTATATGGTATGGTACAAGATAAACATGAAAGTTTGGCAACTGGTTCACACATGCACTGTCTGATCAAAGCTCTTTTTCGAGGCAGTCACCCACACTTTCATTAAAAGGCAACGATAACCAAGACAACAAGGTTCCCCAGCGTTATATATACACCATGTCTCCCAGTCCCTCCAACCCTACTCTCTCTCTCTCTCTCTCTCTCACGTTCATGTTGAACCCTCTCAAGTTGAAGCCAAACCCGGTTAAGATTCATGCACCAAAAACTCGCTGCTCGTATAAGCCAATCTAAACGATTTACGACATGACCTTATCCGATCATTTTCAATCCTAAGTGAGACATTTTTTAATCTTTATTGTAGCATATGTATTGTGAAAATTGCCCTATACTAGTCTCTTTTCTTATTTTATTTTAATATTTGTTTTCTTTTAACTTGAATTATTTGTCCTTGTTGCGGCTCTAACCTCTACTTTCAGGTCTCAATCCAAATTATGCTTCCCTGTGTATGTACTGCCTCTAATTACCTTTTTCTCTTTAAGAAAAAATAGTCCTTTTCTTTTTGGGGGGATAGTTTGATCTTAATTGTTTTTGGAAGATTGTTCTAATTAGTTGAAAGTGACTTAGAGAGCAGACAATTAATTTTATTGTAATAAACAGATTAATTTAAGAGTGCCCGGGTGTGAGAATTCATCCACAGGGATCTATTGATTATTACATCCCTAACTACTTAACAAGTCGGTAACCAAGTTGAGGGGCCAATCAACTTGTTATTCTTGATGGAGACAAAAAGAAAAGTGAAGAAAAATCTGAAACTGCCTCTGACTTTGATTTTTGATCAATCACTACTTTTAAAACTATTAATAAAACACACAGCCCGCGAAAGAAAAAAACAACAACTACGTGAAATCTGGCTCACTTCCCGCATTAGATTGACCAAATGGTATATCACGGGTCTTGAGGCCTTCTAACTTTTAATTTATAGGGACAGAGGGATACGCATACGCCTAAATCCTGCGCAAGAACTAACGATTTTAATATCATGTGGAGATTACAAGAATCGACTTCTGTATATCATAGGCTAAAGCAAGTAAATAACAAAGCTTTGCAGAGTTGTTAGATAGTTAAGTCTATTGAGTATATTAATACAAATTTAATTCTTAATTATGCATATAGAAAAGAGTAATTAAAAGAGGTAAAATTCACTTTGATTATCTCTACGCATTAAAGAGATTAGTTTTTAGCTATTAATTAATATAGCATCAGTGTATACTGAAAATTATATAGGCAATAGCAAGTAATTAGGTAGATAACGATGTTTCCTTTAAATGGGATGTGTTTTGTTCTGATTGACAAATTTTCTCCCTCCATTGACCGTATTATAATTATACTAAAGATACCAGCTGTCAGATGAGACATCTGCTATTTTTGCAACTCATAGCCCCTGTTATAGTCTATGATTTCCATCTAAAAGATTAACAATAGATTAATGCGCTCGCGTTGAGGATCACCAACGTTACACTTAAAAATCATTGCCCATTCGACAATACCAATAGTAATATTATTGACACATTTTCCTTGCAATCTCTACATCAAATGCCATTGGGCATTGTCTCTTTAAAGTGTAACTAGTCCCACCAAATTTGATTTTTGCAAGACTAATTAAATTTAGGACCAAACACTTGTATAGTTTGGAAAAATATCATATTCAGATAACAATCTGATTAAGGCAGGCAAAGCCCCCAGCCAGGCATCATTACCCAATAATAATATTACCTAAAAGACTACTTTTTCTTTATCTTTTCAGTCCCGAGTATTTTTGAGGCGCATATGCCTTTATTGTCCTACCTATTTAACTCGTCTCAAATGATCAAAAACAATAATTATAATAATACATTGAATTTTGCAACTTGGTAGGGGCACTCATCATGAAAAAAAAAATGTTCACGGGGTCCACTTTTTTAACAAATAGATTTTGTTAAAACAGTTCAAATCATCACTAATCAACAAATCAACTATTGTCCTTATGAATTGCAACAACTATTTAATGGAAGAAATTCAAAACTGTCACTAACCTTGCCTCTATTTCATATACAAATCAATTTACATGACAGAAGCTAGACTCTAGGAAGCGGACCAGAGAGACACCACGTTGACTTGATTAAGTTAAGGCCTTTCTTGATAAATAAACCACAAACAAGAACTCACGCTTGTTTAGAATTTCAGCTAGAACACTGAATACAGCCTTCCTGCTTAATTGCTTATAACGAATAATGCATCCAAAATATTTAATGGTATTGTTTCTCTTTGGATCTTTCAGCCCACTTTTAGTTTACTCTACAGAATTCTTCAGTTTACCCGCAAACGCCTTATTTCAGCTTGGAATGTGGGACTGGAGACTAGCGTTCGATGAGCAAGAGTCTTTACATCTTCTCTTGAACAATCTCGCGAGATACGAACTAGCTCCCACAATGCACCCCCATTAATCATGTCTCTTGCATTTATTTCTGAAATGCATCAACCAGAGGGTCTTAGGCATGTACTCCAGTGAAAGTCTTGTTTCTAGTTCACAGATAGAGTTTACTTGTTACTTACCATGTTGTGCTAAATGACATAGTGCAAGCTCAATATGACGCCTAATTGATGAGGCTTCGTTATTTGCATTTTGCACAATCCATGGAAGAGCACCATCCTCAATAAGAAAAGATCTTCCACTCTTTGTCCCTGTACAATGTGGCAAAACTTTAACTAAGGCGATAATAGGCACTGTTGATCGAGCACGATTTTGCAAACCCAAAATATGCGAAGTGCCAACAATAAAGTGAATTACAAAAGTAATGGACGAATTTTAGAGGGGAGAAAATAATCTGTATAATTCCTTAATATATAGACTCAATTACAAAATTTATTTATTTGGATTTATTTCCTGTAATTGGGCCAGATTTGTTACCCATAATTCCTAGATTAGCATTGATTCCTCAAACCTGTATATATTGTAATTATCCTTGTACAATTTGATCATCTAAAATATTATTAAGCTTATCATATTTCTAGTTGGTACCTGTGTCTAAACCCTAGCCACCTTCATTGTTGTTAAATACACAAGTGTCATTTCAATTAA